CCTTCATCTCATTTCGTCACCAGATAATACATTTCTTGTACTGATTTTAGCAAATATACTTTACACATTTCCTAAGTAATCAAAATATTAAAATTTAGGCTAATAATTAATAAATGAAGCAGGACAGGTACCTGTCATAGCTCTATGTGTTTCTTTAATTGTTGTTATATGCCTTGTGGGCACCCCTGTGTCGAGAGTAACCAGAACGTCTGTGACCATAAAAATTATCTGTTTTGTTTTCTGTTTCTACATCTTTTGTAGTGAATGCTACTGCTTGGGGTGGGGATGGAGACAAAAAAGAGAGGATATAAGGAAAAAAATGAGACTTACCATTAGATCAAAAGTCTTCTAGACTTACTATAGAAGATTACATTGATATCTACTACCTTGGTTGAGTGTAGATACATCTTAATGCACTGTCATTTCCTAATTGGTCATCTAAATATATGTCAAGTTTAACTTTAAGTTGTGTTATTTTCTAACTTACATGCTGATGCATTTTATACGCTCGCCCTTATCTATATGGTTTTTGTTGTTACATTCTGATTGAAGGTTGGATTCAGGTTATTTTAGCAGGGAAAAAGGAAACAGTTTCGTTGGCTATACAAAAGGCTGAGAGATTTCGAACTGAGCTCCTCAGGCGAGGTGTTCTTCTAGTACCTGTCATTTGGGGTGAAGGTAGAACACCGCAAGTGGAGAAGAAGGGTTTTGGGGCTTCTCCAAAAGCAGCAGCTGCTCTTCCTTCTATTGGGGTAAAATACAAGTTGCTAACCTGTAGTAGATTAGTGGCCATACGAGGATATAGTTCTTCTTCACTTGTTACTTTATCGTCATTTGTATAGCTACTAGGACTTCTTAGAAGTTTACTTTGTGCTGTACATGTGACTGCATCTTTATGCTTAGGTGTAATTGTGCTGGAATGTCATAGATGCATAGGCTTGCTGCTTATAGCAATCAATTTTACATGGAATCTTAAGTAGTGAAAAATTAAATGCATGCACCAAATATGGTTTTTGATTGAAACATTTGTTGCTTTCATGACACTTTTTGTCTTGGTGTCATGGCAGGAAGACTTTGAGAAACGTGCTCAATCTATAACTGAAAAATCAAAGTTGAAAGCTGAAATTCGATTTCGGGCTGAGGTTGTATCACCTGAAGAATGGGAAAGGTAACCTGCTACTCCATATTTTACATTATTGTTTTATCCTTGTTTTAGAAATTAGATAACAAAAGTTGTCCTGTAAACCATCTTTTGAGGTAAAAAAAGGACTTTGTCTTGACAAACTGTTTCAAACCATTGATTGCTACTCAATTACCAGTGATAGGCTCAAATTGTGAATGGACATCTTTTCTTTGGTTAGCTTTGTTTTCCTCTTTGAATCTTTTAACTAAAGATTTTTACTTATTTCAGGTGGATCAGGGACCAACAAAAGTCTGAAGGAGTTACTCCTGGTGAGGATGTGTACATAATTTTGCGCCTAGATGGTCGAGCTCGAAGATCAGGAAAAGTAAGAACATTTCTCAGAAAATTGTGCTAGTTCCTCTTCTTGGGCTGAGATAATAACAAATACATTGATTATGAGATTGTGTCGTGGCGGTAACTTAGGAAGAGTTATAACTGATTGCTGATTTTAGTTGCTCAAAGTTTTGGAATTTATGAACACACTAAAAGCATTGCTTGGTTTTATATCAGCTGTTGTTTTCATTTCCTGTAAGGCTATTAAATAAATCTTATAAACCTCCTTAGTTATCAGTTGTCACTGATCGGGATGAACTGACTTAATGACCATAGACTCCAAAGGAGTAAAAGTTCTGCACTTCAGGACATCTTAATATTTCCTTATACTTAACTGCCATGTGGTGATGTGGGTCAGTTGCGCTCTAAGCTCTATATTCTCCATCTTAGGTTTCCAATAACCAATTATGAAAAATTGAAACTTTTCTCCTCTTTATCATGGTAAATTTTCATGGTCGCAGGGAATGCCTGATTGGCCACAAATAGTGCAGGAGCTACCACCAATGGAAGCATTGCTAAGCAAACTAGAAAGATAGGATCTCTGTCAGCAACTCTTACTTGAGTATGCTTTTGAACGAAGACAGAACAGATTGCATCGCTGATGGGGATCTTTCCTGTTGTCTGATTAGGGATGCATTAGAAAACCATGTTTTTCTTCCATGGTCCTTTTACACGGTAGGAGATTCTACATCCATACTTTTAGCATTGTATTATTGCTTTGTAAAATTGAACATGCAAACTTTGGGACAAATAAAAGAAATTAATTCTGGTCTATGTAATTCATCTGTTATTTCGCTATTTTTAGGTTTTAACAATGTTGGACCTGTACCCTTTTATCTCTTATTTCTTTTTCTTTTCTTTTCGGAGTGGGGAGGCAGCTTTTATGGTGGACTTTATTGGCTTTGTTTATATTTTTTTGTGTGCAATAATTGGACAAGCCAGCACAGCACGCTGCTTCTTTTTGCCACCCTTAATACTATCGTTTTAATGGGAGATTATCAGTCTTATTGCGGGGAGCGAGCCCTCCCTTCACCGTTTTGGATGCATGATCATGTTATAGTTTTCAATTAATTAACTTCCATTTGTGTAAACATTGAACCTATCCTTCATACCCCCAATACGTAGTCAAATGTTGTTCCAAGGTTTTCAGGGTGCCCGGAATACTTTTAACAGTTTCAGCCTGTTTTGTTTTCGACCTTTTTGAGCTCAAATTTATGGTAACATAAAATGTAGCAACTTCCCCTAGAGATTCATTGATTACCATCTTCTTGGCTTCGGATAGCAAAATGACTTATTGAGTGATTGTGTTATTTGCCTTGCTACTTAATATTTACAGCAGAGAATCGATGGAGAATGCGCGGGAAGCGAAGATGGTTTAAAGATTGAAGAAGAAAGGAAGGTTAGTCACCTGAGTGTTTAGGCTGCCGTTTAGTACTTTTCTTTATGTCGTTTTACCTTCAGTCAAGTTGTTTACATTTAGGTTGCCTTTGGTATATTGGCAAGAATATTGCACTTGCTATATAGATGAGAACATCTATATAGATATAGTTTACCAAACGTCACCCTCCAGTTTGACTTTATCTAGTGACCTTTTTCTGCCCTTTACCCTACACCGTTTAGATTTTTGGGTGTATGAGCCGTGAATGGTTTGCACAGGTCCATGTCCTTTATTTCCTTGGCATTTGTAACCCCGGACGTTGGCACTGGTTGGTTATTACTTTCTGCCTTTTTTCTCTCATCCAACAGTGTATATATATCCGTTGGTTCATTAAATGAAACGTGTTTTCATCGTGCCGTGTTACCATTTTTCTTCTGTTTTTTCCTCTCTTGGCTCTCGACTGTTCTTTCTTCCCTGTGCCACAGCTGGTTGTTTTCTCAGAAAACCTCACCTTCTTCAACACACCTATTATAGTCAAAGTTTAAATTTGAGTAGGGCCAACTTTTAAACGTTCGTTAGACAAAATATAAAAGTATCGAATATAGTCTGGCAGATGCATCGACATAGAAAGGAGCGAGATATAGAGAATTGAAAGAGCCAAGGTCGGTCCATGGGGTGGGTAAGGTTGGGATCTTGAGGCACATGTGTTGTGCTTGCTTCTAAGAATCTGATAAGATTAAACTAATTATTTCAGATATGCTTTAACCGGAGTCAACGACCTTTTTATGCCTATCTTGATTATATGATCTTTCTTTTAAGTATTTTTCCTATGCAAGAGGAAGTATCCTCACCCAAGCTTTGAACCCTGTGAGCCTCTGAAAACCTCAGACCAAACACCTGAATAAGCCACTTGTCAGCTCATTTGGAAAACAACACCTTGCAGAAGAAAATTTGTGGTTCTATAATGCGGTGTTCAAATTCTAGAATTTTACTTTGACAACCCATTTTTGCATTTTTTTACAGGCCACTTGAGTGGCTCTAAGCTATACGTAAATCTCACCTACTATCTGGAATTCACAACTGAAATCGACAAAGAAAAGCTAGTATAACATGGAATATCGATCTACCCCCATGAATAATGGTCACACGTCTGCAATTTCAACGGATTATCTATTGCCAGTTCTGTCATTTTCTTGTATTAGGTTTTGAAGAAGTCATACGTTTTCAAGGACTCCCCAAACTTTCTAAATAGCTATCCAGGCGTCGTTTGAACTTGTACAAGAGTCATTGATCTAATGAACTTTATCAAAGAATAGAACGAGTAACCCCGTGTCACTAAAAACATTTCTTTTTTCTTCCATTGTTGGGTTAGGTTGTGCTTCTATTATTATTCTGATTAATCTTTGTCATTATTATTGTCAATAGTCATGGGATTAGGACAGGCAAACTATTGGGAGGTTGTTGGACGAACTAGGATTTAAACCAATCCTGTAACGTATGCCTCCCCCATCAGCCAACCAATTGCCTTCTTGGTGTGCTTATACGTTGAACCATCATTATCTCCATATTTACGAAACTACCAAGGATTCGTGTACTTTGTCCAATGCTTTTATATTTATTGTTTATTAATATTCTATAAACGAAATGATATGTTCATAATAGTGTTGGCCAATAACAAAAATATAATCCTAATTTGAGCTTGTTCTATTATCATATTTAGAATTAAATATTTATCAATTTATAATATATATTGAAGAACAGGTGTTTTCATGTCATTGTCCCATGCAGAATTATTGCTGTGCCATTCAAATAAATATTGAATGTGGTTTCATCATACACATTTAAGTTCCACTTCTTCGAGAAAGAAAGGCAAGAACAATAAATTTTGGGAACGGAAAGGAGAAATTGGACAGGGGAAACAAAACCTAACACTGGTGCCAAGTCAAGTGGCATTTTGGATAAATAAGGAGTTAGTCAATGTCATTCTCCCAACTCTCTTATTAGTAGCTTTAAAAACAAGTCGCCACACCCCTTCTTTTCTTGTCCCGGCTTAAGCAACTGCAGCATAGAAAAACATACAACAGCCAAAACAAACAAGCAACCAAGATGTCTAATCCCTCTGGTTTTCTCCTGGCCGTTTCCTTTGTCCTCACAACTCTGATCATCTCCTTGTCGACCGTCGAAGCAGGTGGTGACCACCACTTGATCAACTGGGTTCCGACCAAGGCTGGCTGCCAGGGCTCCATGGCTGAATGCATAGCTAACGATGAGTTTGGTATGGACTCCGAGATCAACAGGCGCATATTGGCAACCACGCAGTACATAAGCTACGGAGCTCTGCAGAGGAACACCGTGCCATGCTCTCTCAGGGGTGCATCCTACTATAACTGTCAGCCAGGCGCACAAGCTAACCCCTACAGCCGAGGTTGCAGTGCCATTACCCGTTGCCGTAGTTAAGGTTATTCTGCGACTCCCCCACCCCGGCTGTTTTTTTGTCCTGTCTCATTTTTTTTTGTCATTTGTAAGATAGAAATATACCAATAAAGTTGATTTAGTCAGAATATCAAGCTCGTCTCTGGTGAGATGGAGAATCTATGTTGTTGAAGAAATTCTCTGATATGCTATCATGTAATCTTGTGTGATTGTTTGTCCTTTAATTTTGCTGCTTTCGAATCCTAATTACCTTCAAGTTTCAATCAGTTTCGCTTCATTTATACTAGAAGATAGATTGATTGGACAGTTTTGGTTTACCATCTGGGAGAAGATCCTGGTCAACCCCTCTTTGTTAACTCCAGCACGCAATGGCAGATTATGAACCAGGCATGAAAATAACGTCAGCTAGAACTAAAATCCATGGCAAGTACCATGATGGTAGACCAATGAGAATGATTATATACCAATTAATGGAAGGGGGAACATTAATTGAACTTGTATTCTTCTGACAAGCACAATCATAGCCATCTTTGATACCACTTATTTTGAAATGTCATTCACTCTTCCAATAATTCAAAATAATTTGGAAGTACCATCTATTGTTTTCAAAATGTATTCTGACAACATATGATCAACTACTTCGCATACCGCAACTGAAGGTTATTAGAGATAAAATGTGATCTCAGACAAATCATCGTCAGAAGGACAACTTCAATTATCAGCTTTAAGTTCCTATAGCATTTCCAAGTGCTAAAGCTGATACACTTGGGATTGCCTACACAGATTAAGGATTAGGGTTAACAGCTGCTCATCCAGAAGGCTGGTCAATGAAGCAATGCTCAACACGTCAAGTTTAATGACCAAACCTAAATAATTATGTATTTGCTATTGCACAGAGAAAGAGCACGAATGTTAACAACAAATCACCTCATATTCATTAACTCAAACTATAATTTGCCAGACTGGCATTAAAAGCAGATAATTGTTACTCCCAGTTCACAGAAGATATAATGAGTACAATAAAAACAGAAAAAGAAAAGGAAAAGGTGGACACTCAGTAATGTCCCTGATCTCTCGCCAATTATGCTTGCATACAAAATAAGATACCACCAAATTACAATCGTCAACCACTGCTAAAAACGCTCGTTGGCTAATTTTCATGCTGAACCTTCCTCTTGCTTTGCTTCATCAGACTTTTGCTTTGATGGAGCTAAAGGAGATGGAGAGCCTTCCACTCCCATCTCTGCTTTTAGGTCATTGATGCTCTGCTCCAGCTCGTTTATACGGCTTCCCATTTCATCAAGTGCTTTGCAGTTAAGGAAACAGTAGAGGTCCACACTTCATAATAATACTAAAGTAACTAACTAACTATTTCCATTTAAAGCAATGCTATGGCACCGCAAAAACATAACAAAGTTTCAAACTTGTTCAAATCTGTCCAGCAAACAGTTATCAGATACAGGTCCAAAATCACTGTCCCACCAAGCTTCTTAGCCTTATTTCAAGAATTCCTTATAAGTTGACAAAAGTAAAACTTAAGTATACGTTACTCTAAAACATTCAACCTATTTATGTAGCAATAAAATTAAAAAGCTCAACAAAGAAATTTAGACAAACTTCTCTGTCAAACATATCATTTAGGACAAGCCATTTACTTCACCAATGAAGCAACTCAGCCATATTCCATATCTTGTTCTTTTTGACAACATTGCTATCCTACGGAAAAACATGTTTCAATAAAATTTAACAACACATGAAAAGGATATTCTTTGTAATTATGGAATCAGACATTGTTTGAAACCTAGATTGCTGCAAACAATATTGTTGTCAATAACAGAAACATATTATTCCAACAACAGAGGGTCTAATTGTAACTCACCATTTGTTGAAGAAGATTTTGCACCTGCAAAAATCAGTCGAAAAGATCATTACTAAGAACTTAGTAGAAAAGCACATCAAGAACCATGGCAAATAATCGCCGAAATACATCCATCAGAAACTATGGTCCTTGCACAACTTTGCAACCTAAGAGTTGAGACTAAATCAAAATTAACAGTAGTTATGCCCTCATGGTACTAGCAAAACAGCATAAATTGAAAGCAGTTGTCATTCATGGTATGAAAAAGGGTGAAGAAACTCACAAAAACAGTCATATCAGCAGTGCTTTGCTTTGAGTCGTCCGAATTATGCCCGTCCTGCAAAAAATGTATATTAGTCAGCCCATACCACACAGCATTAGCAAATGAGTAATACACAATTAGCCCCTACTTCAGATTGTTTAACACTAAGAATGCAATTGCTCACATCGTCAAATACCTAGAAAACTATAATCCTCTAACCAAAACTTTTAACAAGAGAAAGAACTCGAGCGGGAATTCCTTCTGACTTTGCTAAAAATCTCAAGGAGACACAGGAATTGTATGCCATTGACTAAAAGGTTTGGGTCTTAAGAGAAGTAAAACCCTAAATAACGTCATAAAACCTACACTACCATTCATAATAAAGCCTAGAAAGTAAAACTTTAATACCAGCATTGCAAGCACAACCAATTTTAATCCAAAAAGCACTACTAAAATTTAAAAAATAATAAAAATCAAACGAGAAATAAACCAGAAAAGTATAATTGTTAAAACCCATAAAGATTCAAGATTGTTTAGAGAATACAGATCTAAAACATGTCGAAAATGAAGCTTTTTAGATCAAAACCTTTAACATCCATGGTACGACTATAGATCGCACGTTTCTGGGCAATTAAAAGAAAAGCAGCAAATGATAGCGAGGAAGATTATCAGCTTTAAAGCTTACAGAAACAAGAAATGAAATGAAGTATACCATTCTTTGGCAGTGGATCTCTGGTTGCTCGCGCTGCTCCTCACTCCTCACCTCAGTTGCTTAAAATTCGAAACTTGGAAGCTTGAGGGAAATCAGAAATGATCGCTGCTTGCTTTAAAGGCGTATAATCGCATTCCACTTTCATCCGGCTTACACCTCTAATTTACCCATATGCCACTCCACTCGAACATTTTTTAGCCTTTTTTTTTCTTTTTGATACGTTATTATATATCTCAAGAAAATGAATTTAAAACGTAAATACTACTGTTTCGATATTAGGTTTCATCATGTCAAAAGAATATGTAAAATCGTAAACTGAATATTATTTGAAAGTTACGGTTATGGCATTTTTGTCATTGAGCATTCGCACCCAAGTTCCAAGCCCAATACGACTTGGGACAAGACGAAGAGGCAAGAGCCCGGGAGCGCCACCGCATTCAAAATTCAAATAGTCTGGGCCTCATTTTACAACTGGGGGTCTCTACGGCTTTACCAAGTTGTTCATGATCCGCGTATATCTAATCTGCTTTTGTAATCCTGATCAAGGATTAATGGGCGGACCCCAAACAGGTGTAGGCTTTTTGCGTTGTGCATTCTGACTTGCCTAGTAACATAATGCTTTCATGAAATAACTTCAAACGAAAGGAAGATAACAAGAGAACCTCTCCTTCGATTTTAGGTGGAAAGGGATTCAATCCAATTCTTTGTACCCATACATACATACATCCATACATAATAAAATCCTAGAGAATGCACATCAAATAATTGCATGCATAATAAATTCCTTAATGTGTTAGAGGTTACTTAAACGGTCACCGCTGGTTGTTGCTTTCTGCAAGATAGGAAGCTTGGACCCTCTTCTTATGGGGAATCTCACCAATATAGATTGCACAAAACTTATAATAACCTTCCCATTTCTATCTTTTTGAAAAGGTTGTATGTGCGAGTACAAGTTATTTCAGGATTATCTTAAATTGACAAGTAGGTTTTCAGAATTTCAGTCACCAATCAAATGGTAAAATCTAGAAATTAAGTTCAGAGTTAGCATTGCGACGGGCTAATAGAATTGCCCAGATAAAAGAATAATAGCAACATGCAACTAAGCTCATCGATCTATATCTTAAGAGCAAGTCAAAAAAAACAATTATATATTAAAAAAAAAAAAGAGTTGCCGGGAGTCTCCCTGTGCATAAATTACTAAAGAACTTGATATGAGGTGTAATGGGATTACATTTATAAGATGAGTACAAAAATTTCACCAGCCAAAGAAAATACTTGGCACTTCATTTCTCCTTTCTACTATGCGTTTTATCACTCACACAAGGATTTTCCGGTGAAGAAGACCATAAACCCCACAATATAACTAGGTGAAGACAAAGGAGTAGAACAGATGAATAAGGGTTTGATGGATACACATTCCAGCACAGCTCCACTCCTACGAACAAAAAAACACTGTACAAAGAAAACAGAATCCGAAATATCGTGAATATTACAAGGAGGTGACCGTTCCAAGTTTATTCAAGAGCAGGAGTAAAGAAGTTACCGAAGCAATGTAGGGAAAGGTGTTCTCCACAACAGGTAAGGCAAGCTATAGAAATACCTGCACCAGAGACGATAGTCAGGCTCAGATGAAACTCTTAACATGTTTTTCACTGGAGATAAATTATAACAAGAAAGAGATCTGAAATGATCTGATTCCATCTCAAAGTTTTGTACAGCAGGAATAAGATATTCTCAAACCAGAAAAGCATCTAGATAATCCATAATTTATAATATCATAGCAGGCATCATAGTCAAGATTTTTTCATATACAATTTAGGAGGTTAGACAACCTAATATGAATAACAAGGCATTTGTAGTAGCATGACACTCACCATGAATAGAATTGATAATGCAATGAGCGGGCACATACAATGCCAATGAAGTTTCCAACAAACATGGTTGTCGTGATATCTGAATTCATTTCCACTAAATTTAGTATTCCAATGAAAGAGGGAATAAGCGATTCTCTCATGAAGTTCATGGAATGATCACAACTTACATTCTTTCTTGAGGGTTTTTGGCAATGAATTGCTAGATGTTGAGAAAAAAGATCTAATCCTCAAACACAAAAAATTAAGAAGCCCACCTTCATGCCTGCAAAATACCAGATATATGTGCAATTAACATGATCATCATCAGTTACATGGCCAGAATATTGCCTAAAAAGCTAAAACCAGACATTTTTGCATAAGTAGCTCAAACATCAAGAGCAACACAAACCATCCATCAACGAACATTCTCTAAATGGATTATGCATTGGGGTTTGTGTCATAATATCTGGGTTTATCTAACACAAGGCAGGCTCTGTCAAGGCTTCTATTAGTAAGACAAATTATATTTTTCCCAAAAAAAATCCTGTGACTGCATGCTCATTTCTTAACACCAAGAGACATAAGCCATTTCACTTACTTGCACCATTTATAATGAGCAAAAAATGCGAGTAATACAAGGTGAGCAATCAGCAAAGAGACAGCGAATTCCTTTGATACAAAAATTGGTTCGGGAATGAACTTGAAGTTGACAGACCTGGCAAAAGAATAAAAAAGCAAAGTTACTCCTCAACAAAACCCATTATCATGCAAGTAAATTACAGAAAATTATAGTCTGAAAAACAATGAAGTACAGCGCTATTCCCAAAAAACCACCCCTGCATACAAAATGATAAGCAAGCAAATGGGTACAACCTCTTAAAAATATCAGTGGACCTTTATCCCTTCAAAAGAAGTTCAAAGAATTATTGAAGAATAGTTTCCAGTAAACCCTAAAATCTACACAGCTTTACCAAACAAAAACTGAATACAAGCTCAAGTATATTTACGGCAAGCGATATTTTTTAGAGACAAGTTTATGAACCATCAATATTTTGAACTACTCAAAGTAAACACTTAATACCCTCAAAGGCAGGTAATAACATGAATATTATAACATAAGAACTTTTACGCGAGCGATCTTAAATTTAAGCTCATTGACTTAGCAGAAGGATACACAACTCCCCGGAGGAGATCAAAGAAATAATTTCGTATCAAAAAGGTTTATAAAAGGCCAAAAAAGAAACTTCTCTCAAATTAAGAATTCTTTCAGATCAGATTTTGATCTAGCAATCCAATCTGTAATCTTGTTCCTGCACCATACCAAGCTAATATTCCTTGAAATATCAATAATGCAAGAAAAATTACCTAAACAATATTTTCATTTACCACCATCCAGTAAAGATGCTACAGATTAACCATGTCAATTTGTTACTAACCAGCAACTAAGGGAAGGGTGAGCATTTTTATACTATAGAATTACCAGAAGTGGATGAAGACACGTCCAAGATTAAAGGCTTGTGATATATATTCGATTGGATATGATACTAGAAAGGGCAGCCCCAGCACAATCTGCAGAACCATTTACTGAGTATGTAGAAATGAATCAACATATTGGCAAAGAATGCCTCCTGCCACAACATTAAATGCAGTAGTCCAACTCACCTAACCACATTGAAAGTAAGTTAAGATGCATGGAGATTAATATTAACTTCCCATGTTAAGAAAGAAAAAGAATATAATCTGTAAAGCAAAGAAAAAATTAGAAATAGAAATCTCAATTATCAGGAAATTTCCAATGCTGATAGAGTCCTCAAAGGCCAACAAGGAATAGCTCACACACCTGCACCAGTGCCGCACCAGCTAAAGCTGATATTATCCCACTGATATTCATAGCCTGTAGAAGCAGTGATTCCCAAGAAAGATGCAACTGTTTGAGCATAATAACTGACCTAATTGCTAATTACTAGAAAAATATAATGCAGCAGAAGTTAATGCACCTGTAGCATGAGTATTAAAAGAGGTGGAGCATAAAGGAGGACATTCATCTTTATTGAAACTGCAGCACTACACATAAAAAGAGGGAATATTGAATCAACTTTTCTTTTCTTTTCTTTTTAAAAGAAAAAAAAAGTACTAATTAAGTGAGCATACTACCTAAAAATAATCAATCCCAAATGCCACCATTCGTAAAGAATGGATGCCATTGCAGCATGGAGAAGTGTCATTGCAAAACAGTCATTAAACAGACGAAGCACAAATATTGAGTGAACTCTCTTTGAAAGAGAAACCAAGCTCAGAGCCCACCATGGAAGCTGCAGGACATTGCAAGAACAACAAATGCTAATATCAAAAGCCAAGACAAATAAACAAACATTGTAACAAAGAGGTCAGAAACATTAACAGCGAAGAACAATTTTGTTTTCCAGAGATTGGATGGCTTCTGCAGAATGAATATACAGATTTTACCAGTGCTTGAGGAATGGTGCAAGTGATAATTGAAATGCAGACATCTCAAATACACAAGCTTCCAGCATTAAAGTAAAGACATGTATTTTAGAACTTTTACCAGTATTTTCTACTTTATCCGCATGTAAAGTAGATTGTGAAAAACTCTACGTAATTTTACATAAAAAGACATCTAACTACACCAGAAACAAAAAATGATGGTGATATTATAAATTAAAGGGTACATATTAGCGCCTGAACTAATAAAACACAAGTAAATTTCATACCACATCAGTCTTTACATAGATTAATAAGACGATTCCCAGGTTTATGATGTATAAAATCGCAAACAAAATCTGCAATCAACAAAAAAAAAAGCAACAAAGAAAATTAAGCATGGAGTATTGTTTTACATAACAACAAATCAGAGACAAGAAAATTCAGCTTGCATAGTACAATGATCACCTGAGCTGGAAAAACCTGTCCTCCGGTAACATACTGAATAGCGGAATAAACATAAAGGAAGCCAGCTGGGTAGACAAGCGGCCCAGTGTCTCCTTTCAAGTTCTTGTAATCCCTTTCTCCTCCAAGAAACCCACTTACCTGTCATTAAACACTAATTCCACATTATCCCATTATTTAAAAAAAAAAAACTGAACCAACCCAGAGAAAGGAATTTGCTTGATTAGTATAAAAATACCACACCTGAGACATGTAAGCGTCCCAATCTATCTTCGTATCTGAAAATTAAAAGTGTGAAAAGTCACCAAAGAGTTTCAGGGAAGAGAAAAGAGTGACAGAATGGGATTTTTGGGACCTTACAAGGGACGTTGGCGATGATGAAGGAGACGAGGAGGGCGTCAATGAAAAGCAAAGCCAAAGCCATTGCGGTTTTTGGGTT